CTTTTACACCCCACTCACATTAGGAGGTGGGGTCCACGAGCCGCCATTTTTAAACACACATGGGCCCCGCACACATTGTGAGGGTTGTACACCTTTCGGTACCCCCCATTCGGTACATATGGCTTTTTCCTTGAAAGAAACATATGACAGTGAAAATACAGCTGTGCTTATTAAAATCTCAAACATTATTGGAAAATTCTATTTGTACATAAGAGGTCGACAATCTCTCACATGGTACGGGTCTGCATGTTTAAAAAATTCAAAAAAAAAAAAGTGTCCCTCCATTGTAAGTGTATGTCAACCTGTGTGTCAACCATTTGGTTGTACAAATAGCATAGCTCAACCTTATAATTGCCCCAAAATCCACGTTGGAGATTGAGAAGTTATTTAAATACTTCTACGTCTACTAATATATGAATTAACTTTTAACGGAATTGACAGGCCACGATATTAATATTTAAAAAAAATAAAAAATTATCAAATTACCATTATGAATACGATTCGTGAATAAAATTTAACTTTTTTTTCCCTTCTTGTCCTAAACGTCACGTTTTACTAGTATCATCAAATTACTTAAATCCATCGTTATCTTGTAATCGCTACTAAAAAAATTATAATAGAAAGAAAGTAACTTTTTTGGACAATCTCTTGTGAAACTTCCAACTGCTATGAGAATTGAAATTTGGATTTATTTATTATTATTATTTTATTTTATTTTATTTTGAAGGAACAAAGTTTTAACAACTTTTTTGTTGGTTTTTGACGTTGGTCTACAGGTGTCAATTATTTATTCATTTATTTATTCTAAAGGCGACTAACAGCTTTGAATTTCTTATGCCATTCAATGACTTCAGCAGCCTCCATTTAGGGAATAAATAAGTCCGTTGTACGTTTTTGAAATTAGTTTGTTGGTTTTTGACATTAGTCTACAGGTGTCAACTTTTTTTATTTTTTTGGACATTTACGGCATATTTGTGAAATGTTAGAGACATTCGCTGGTACAAATTGAAGGTTATGATAAAGTTTGAAAAATTGAAAATGTTAGGGACCGTCACTACTATTTTCCCTTTGTCTTATGTCTAAAAGTCGTCACAATCTCCGTTCCTGCTTTCAATGAGACTTTCTTTCTTAGCTGCATCAATTTGTCTTTTAATTAGCTGTAAAACAAAATGAACGAAGTAAACGTGTGGATAAATGGAACAATTTTTGGCAATAGTGAGGGAAGGTGTAATATCATTTTCAACGAAAAACTACAGTCAATTTAAAAGATAATACGTGACATCTAATTTCTAAAATATATTTATTTTTTAATAAGGGATGTATATTTTTCTTAGAATCGTGTTTACTCCGACAATCTCTTCTAGAGAGTTGTAAATTTCGCTATGTAACTATCTAATATTTAATTGATGTCTTGACATTCAAAGGTGACATTTCTTTGCACAGAATATTGAAAATCAACATGGTCTATCATGGTAAAGTCCACAACATAATATAGAATAATGTTTTCATGTTCTGTTTTATAAATAAATTAAAATACAATTGTGGAATCTCAAGTTCAACTAAAGAAATGAACTATATCGCACGTTTAAAGAGAGAGCTCGTTTCAAAATGTAACGAACATTTCAATAAGAACGTCACTTGGTCTCAAAATCAATTAAAGCAATGAACTATTTCACACGTTTAAAGAGAGTTCTTGTTTCATAATGTAACGAACATTTCAATAAGAACGTCACTTAATTTCCGTGCCCGGCCCCTCGACATCCTTTGTTCCACAATCCTTAATATATTTAAAATGTTGGGCCTGACTGTCAAATGTTTTGAGTATTATCCAGTGCGGTTGGAGTAAATCTTGGGGCTTCTCTATTTAAAACGGGCTTACGAAAAGGGCGCCTAGAATGAGAAGACTCAGTAGTCAGTGTAGCGATTATTGGTCTTGGATTTGGTAAATGGGCTTTAGAGTTAAAAAGCCTGGCACTCGGATTGGGCTGGGCTTGTTGAGATAATGGGCCGGTTGTGGGCTGATTAATTAAAGGTTAAGATCTTCTATTTTGAAAATATCTTCCCATTCTCAGCGAAGGCTCGAGGTATAGAAATGGAGGGGGCCACTAACTTTGACATTATGAATGACAATTTTGTGAGTTGACAATTTTTTACAATTATGCTATACAAACAATCTCAATGATACGGTTAAAAAGCAAGGGGACATGTGGAACAATATTGGACAGTTTGGCAACAAAAAATAAAAATAAAAATTATGCACACAAGCGTTGATAGCTCAACACCTGTCAAGCACCTGTTTACAATCCCTATTTGAGTAGCATTATTGTTTACTTTAACAACACTTTAAATAATCAATTGCAGAAATTTTGACAATTCACATAATGTCATCTAAAAATGTACATATAAATTAATTCTTTTTCTTAGGTCAAACAATTTTTGGCAATAGTGGGGGAATGTGTAATATCATTTTCAACGAGAAACTAGTCAATTTAAAAGATGATATGTTCCATCTAATTTCCAAAATATATTTATTTTTTATTACGATATGTGTATTTTTCATAGAATCGTGTTTTACTCTGACAATCTCTAACGTAACTATCTAATACTTCATTGATGTATTGACATTCAAAGCTAAGGGCTCGTTTGATTGCAAGAATGGAATTGTGTAGAAAGGAGATGAATTTCATAAAATTAAATTGCCTAGAACTTATTTTATTGAGAATTATCAATTAATTGTATTTGATTAGTATAATTTTCCACTTGAAAAATATTGAAATATTGAATCTTTTGACGTTCGTTTGACTTTGTTTTCTATGAAAATTGTCCTTTAAAGAAATATTATTTGTTATAATTGGGAATACAATTTGTTTCTATTGAAAAAAAAAAAAAAAAACAAAAGATTGAAAATC